GGTCTCCAACCTCAAACGCCCAAGAGGAGCACTCTGGGAGGAGTCACTCGGGGTGAAATTGTTGCTCTCAGAGCCTGCGGGGCATCCAGTGTGGGCCCTTGGCTCCAATGGTGTGTGAAACTTTTCACTGGGTTCCCGGAGCCTCATGCAGGGTGATTGTCAGAATCTCTGTTCTTCGTGGGGAAGATGACAGAACCTCCTAATCAGCCATCTTGCTCATGACACTGTTATTACACGTTTGCTCTTTGTGGTCTTTTGCTGTTTTGTATTTTTTTAAATTAATGTCTACCAATAGGCTTCTTTATTTTGCTATTGATACACCAAGAAATTGGCGTTTCCACTCATACACACTTGAAAAAACCAAGTGGGGCCACTGGCAAAATAAGAAGCTGATAGAAACCTTCTGCCACAGTTATTACAGGTGAGTCTTAGACAATGACAAGCAGACTGGATCTTAGACCAGTTTTCTTACCGACACGGATGCACCTGGGAGGAGGGAGCCAGCCATTCTCCGTACAGGTCATTGTGGTCTGCTTGTTTTGAAGCGTGTAGCCAGGATAGCAATAAACTCGTAAAGATGTGCCCTGCAAATAGCTTTGTTCAAATAGTGGATGACGTCCATTTTCCAAATAATTGAAAATGCATTTTCCTGAGGATTATAAATGATGATTTAAAAAAACATAAACAGCGTCAAAATAAATTAAAAACTATATAATATTTAAGTTAGATGCATAAGCATCCAAAAGTAGCACACACTTAGGAAACAAAACAGTAGCTACCAAATATTTTTTAAATCCATATTAAATGGCATTTATCTGTCAGTTCCACAATTGAAATATGTATAAGTGCTAAGGACAGGCTTGTAGAATCTATGTCTATGTCTCCTGCTGTTAATGAAGACCCTTGATGAAAGAGAAATCCAGTATCGGTCTTTCTGCTCAGAGACTCATCCTCCACCTACTTTCCCCAACAGGCTTAGGGAGCTCACGTTTGCTCTCTCCACTCTGGACTATGGCTACGGGCACAGGACAGAGAGGTTCACTCACTGCGACAGGGCACTTCCGGGGTCCAGCCATCTTGTGTGCAAGTTAAGCGATGCCACTTGGTTTGTGAAGGAGTCACATAGTTGTCATCACAGGAATAGTGAAACCATTGTCCTGCTGATACTGGGAAGTGTGATCTATACCAGTTTCCATAATATAGGCTTCCATGTTTTATTTCTGGAAACTCACAGGGCTTAACTAGCAAGTAAAACAAACAAAACACAGTATAAGTAATGTTTTGCCTTAATAAAAATGCAATGAGAGATACCTTGTTTCATTGATGAATTATGTTCTCATACGCTCAGAATTACAATCATTGCATTAGGCTTTCTAGGACAAGAGAAGTTATAAACTTCAGATGATGTGAATAACACTTGTTCCCTGACCATTTCACAATATATACAAATATGGACTCATTATAGTGAACACCTGAAAGTAACACAACACTGTAGGTCAATATTATCTACATAAACCATCACTCTCCTTGTCACTGTTATGCACACTGAGGCCTGTGTCACGGGTGGTCATGGCCTCCTCTTTAAGGCACCTGACTGTCCACATTCATTTGGCCTTGGGCTTGAATGAACCCTGAGCCATTGACCTGTTCTGTGTGTCATTTCATTTTTCATCCATGGAAGATCCAGCTTAAGTGCGGGCCCCTTTTCCAATGAGCTGATACACAAGGAGCAGCAATGAGATTGTAGACAGAAAACACTGGAAAAGGGGCAGCCCCCCAGGAATAAAGTGCCCTGTGGACTGAGGGGCGTGTGTGACAGGTGGGGCTTTAGAAAGTGCACAATGTCTCCCACATTCATCCCCTCATACAAGGGAGCCCCGTGCCCCTCCCTTGAGTGAGGCTGGACTGAGGGGCGCTCTTCTGAAGAGGTCACGTGGCTGAGGGGACCGTGTGTGACCAGGTCATCGATGCTCTGGAGGCGCCTCCAGGGCCCTCAGGTCATCACTCTGGGGAGGGTTCCTGCCCTCAGGCCGCCGATGGGGACACCCAGGGGGACGGCTGCGGAGGCTCCTGCACTCGCCCTGGGCAGCATCCCAGGGAGCAGCAGGGAGGACCCAGAACCAGGCAGCTAAGCGGCTCCCAAATCCTGACCCGCCAACGCTGACACAGAGGGGGCTGTTGTCTGAGGCCGTATGTTCGGGGGCGTTTGTTACACAGACATCAATATCTAGTGTTCTTACCCAGTGATCTAATTCACATATTAGAATATTAGTGAGAGAAATATATATTCATACATACACATTCACATATTTAACATTGAATAGCAAAAAATTAAAAGGTTTTATTATCAAAATGTGGTTTGATATTAGAATTGGAGACTTTGGAAATCAATGGCTGCCTTGAAAGCTCTGCTTTACCTTCAGTGAGGCAAAGATTTCCTTTATTGTTTATTGATTTCAGAGAGGAAGGGAGAGGGAAAGAGAGATAGAAACATAATAATGAGAGAGAATCATCAATCAGCTGCCTCCTACTCGCCCTCTACTGGGGATGGAGCCTGCAACCTGGGCGTGTGCCCTGATTTGGAATCGAACCGTGACCTCCTGGTTCATAGGTTGATGCTCAACCACTGATTCACACTGGCCAGGCAGATCCCCTGTATTTTTAAGTTGAAGAGAAGTAATTGCAGAATTAAGAAGCAGGTGAAGATATGGAGGGAACTTACAGCTACATCTTGGAGGAGGATCCCAGCCTATGTCAGTACATTTTGAAGTATTATCCCGGGTGGAATGGTAAAATCCACTTTTACAGGAGTATGTGATTGCGTGTCCCAGGTCATATTTGCTCCTCTCAGCAACGAAGTGACTGTTTGCAATTTTTGGAGGGTCACATGATGCTTCTGAAAAGGAAAGGGACATGTGAATTCTGCAGAAATCATATGGAAATCATCAAGGACATGAGAATCAGTGAATGTCATTTCTTTCTCCTTTCCAAAGAGCACAAGGGCATTCAAATGAGCTCCCTGTCCTCACATGTATATCAGCACCAATTATATTCTAATAGAAAACATATGTGACCACCTAGACACAGTGTTAAGTAAAATATGTCTGCTGTCTGCAGTGTGTGATGTTAATCAATATGAACCTCAAATGAGCCTTAAATATGTTTATTTTTCCTGGCCGTTGTGGCTCCGGGGATGAGCATGACCTCTGAACCAGGGGGTCAGGGTTTGCTCGCTGCTTAGGGCACATATCCAGGTGGGCAGCTTGATCCCCAGTGCGAAAGTGGGGGGTGAAGGAGGGAGCCTATCACTGATTCTCTCTCATCATTGATCTTTCTAACTGTCCCTCTCCATTTCCTCTCTGAGATCAATAAATATATATTTCAATACATGTTTTTCCCTCACTTTAATCTGCTATATCTATAATATTTTCATTTTCCCATTGCAGTCCGGTCTACATATGTTAGTTTTCACTTCATAGTATAGCTACACTTAACACCAATGCTTGAAGTCAAAAGCCATGAGACACATATAAAAACACACGTTTCCCTAAGAGACCCACCAAATACTATTGGGAGAATTTCATTAGATTAGTTAGGAATAGAAGAACTTCTGGTGGTTGCTTTCAAGCAGTGGACATAAATCCCTTGACAAATTGTAATTCCCTACTCTCGTCATCTCCATGCAAGTAAACAGTGCTGTTAAAACATTGCCAGGGCAGGTGCCTCTATCCAAAAGAGTAACAGCTGAGACAGTACAAAGTGTGAGGCCACATTGTTCCTACTGTTAGAAGCCATCATTGAGATTTGGAATAATAATTCCATATGGGAACTCCCTGTTGAGAATCAGTAGAAACATCCAGTTTGCACAGAATGAATTGGGCCAAAGCTGGTTTTTATTTAGCCGGTCTCGGAGCTTTTCATCATTCCTGCCAATGACTTATTGTGAGAGATTGTCCCTAATGAATGCAGAGACCAAAGTGTTGGTAAATTACCCTCAAATAGCCTTAGCTGGTGGGCTGGAATCCTGGTCAAGGGCATATGTCTTGGTGGCAGTTTCCATCCCGGGCCCTGGTCAGGGCTTGTGTGAGAGGCACCCAGTCCATGTGTTTCTCCTCTCTCTCTCTCTCTCTCTCTCTCTCTCTCTCTCTTCTCCCTCCATTGCATTCTTTCTCTAAAGATCAATGGAAAAAAATACCCTCGGTGAGGATTTTTTTTAAAAGTAAAAACAAATGAAAAAGAGCAAAGTCCTACTTAAGAAAGAGTTAAATATTCCCGTCAGTGTCAACTCACCTTGTCCACGAGCCCAGGAGACCCACAGGGTGAGGATGACCTTGACTAGGAACTGCATGGTGGGCTCCCCGGGTTTGTTAGCACAGAGAGTCCAGCGCTGCTGTTTGGGGCTTCAAATCTGCTTCATGAGCCTTACCAAGTGTGGCTCTGGATTTAAGTGAAATTACCAGGAAGCTGGTTGACTGGGGTCACTCGGTAGATATCAAAGTTCAAAGACGTTTGCCATATCTGTGTATTTACATGAAGGATTTCACAATCATTTCTTGAGTTACTTCCGTGATATGTATTTGTGCCACTTTCCTTAGATAAGTTGAAAACTGGATCCAAAAGTGATATGAAACTCTAATCTTTAAACACTTCTTGAGAATCGGTGAGGTTCTTCCTCAACCAGGAGATTCACACGGGAATAGCTCTGCCTGCGTGTCCCTGTGACGGTCTCTCACCCGAGTGCAGCCCTTAGGGGTCTATGGACACAGCGTACATTCCTGTCTGTAGAAAGCACTGATTTTTGTGTAAATTCACAATAGAAAACACCACAAAGTCCAAGAATTTCAGCACATTGTTTGCATTCAATTTTTTTTTTCATGTTTTGTTTCTTTTTAGAAGCAGTCAGAGAGAGAGAGAGAGAGAGAGAGAGAGAGAGATTTGTAATCTCACAATAGACAACACCTCAGAAGTCCAAGAATTTCAGCACATTGTTAGCATTCAATTTTTTTTCATGTTTTGTTTCTTTTTAGAAGCAGTGAGAGACAAAGAGAGAGAGAGAGAGAGAGAGAGAGAGAGAGAATATCAATGGGAGAGAGACACATCCTGCACACACCCCAACTGGCACAGGGATGAAACCTGCAACCCAGATCCATGCCCTTGACAAGGACTTGAACCGCAGACCCTTTGATCCTTGGACCCACACTCTGACCACTGAACCACAGGACAATTTTAACATATAATTTTTGATTGTACTATTTCCCACAGTATATTCTAAGCTCATGTGTTTTGTTTGACTGGTTAAACATCTGATTCAATAGACAGAAAGCCACACTCTTACTTCCAATGCTGTTTATTGCTCTATTGGCAAGTAGTCTAATCCCACGACGGTGAAGAATCATTGTCTTGGTACAAGTGTAAGTGATGATATAGTTGCGTTAACAACTTTGGGGGAAGATGAAGTTGAACAGGAGGCTAACATATTGCTTTTATGTCCTTTGAAATATAGTGGGAAAGAGCAGGAAATGCCAGAAGTCTGGCAAGCTTTGAGCAAAGAGCAGTACATGAGACTGGCCACATATTTGGGGCCACAGGGCTTCCTCATTCACACCTGGGGAACTCTATTGTCCCTTCCTGTCACGTGTCTATACTCTATATTATATCAGCATTCAAGTCCCTGTTACAATAGCTAGGCCCCTGATTAGAATCTAATGCCTCCTTATGACCTGTTTGAATGATTGTATGTGCTAGATGGATAGTAGATGTTGCACTTCATCGTTTTGGGGGTATAGTGAGCCAAGGATAGATAAGCAAAACTAAGTAATAACTTCGACCATCTGTTGCCAACATGGGTGTGACACAGTTTGGTTTTGACGTGTTTGTGAAGTGACTTTAAGGTGAAGATGGAGGCAAGCATTTTTTATCCTTTCCTCTGAAATAAGAGTCTCAAAACGCCCCTTTATCTGTGGAGAAGCTGACAAAGTCAGGAGGGTGGTTGGGGGAGCAGAGGGGGAAGAGATGGCATCTGCTTTCTGGCCAGAGACGTTTCATGAACAGAACACACA